GAGCTGATCCGTGCTGGTCGCTGAGGAAATACATCAACTTCGCGCGGTGGATCGCCGGTTCAGCTTTCACCATGGACGAAGCGGAGTCCAGGCCGGGGTCATCGCATGTGGTTGCCGCAAGCCCGCCAGCCGTGCCGTTCTCAAGCCCGCCCACCGCCGCTCACTCAAGCCTGCCGTGTGTGGCGCTCTGTGTTTCGTTGTGAAAGCGAAACTACTTTGTTTGGCCTTCCAAAGAGGACACGACTAGAAATCAGTGGTTAAGTTGTATTTACAACACTGTTCCAGAACAGTTCAACCCAAAGCAGACATGGTTTTATGTCTACGTGGCGCGATGCAACGCAATGCGTAAAAAGACAGAATAAATCATTATAATCCGTAATTATGTCCCCACTGGATGTAACAAATGCCTCGTTTATAATGGGTTTTAATGTTTTTGTCTCATCGCTCAGGCCGGGAGACAGCATCACAGTATGGTAAGGGGTGTAACATTTCCGTCACACGCTTGAGGTATTCGGCCAATCACAATGCACTGGATAGCTGGCCAATCACAGCACACCTCGCTTTTCAGACCGATGAGCTTTGTAAAAATCGACGCGTTTCAGAAAGGCGGGGCATAGAGGAGAAACAATAATGTACAGTATGTGGAAAAAGTATGTGGATAATGTGTTTTTTGAACCTTAAACCACATAAATACATTTCATTACACCAAATACACCAAATAATGTTCTTTTTAGCGACATCATATGACCCCTTTAAAAGATACAATCTAAGATTGTAATAAAAAAGTCAAAATTGCAAGATATAAAGTTTATATTATTTATAGTCACAATTATATGGAACAAATTCACAATTGTGATATATAGTCATGCTGAGATTTTACACATTAGCTTGTTAAAAATCACATTCTGAGTTACAAGGTCAAATTAAAACAAAAAACTAAATCACAATTGCAAGATAAATAAATTATATTGTGATTTAAAAAGTCACAAGTACGAAAAAATTAATACACAAATATAAAGTCACATTAAGATATAAAGTCCCAATTAGTGGAACTGAAGTTGCAATTTATTTATTTAATAGGCAGAATCGGGCTCCCATAAAAACTTGCTACTAAATTACTACTAAACGATTCAGATCAAAGGACTCATTTTCAGCTGTATGTCCCATAATGCTTTGCATAAAACACCCCTGTAAACATTCCCCTCACAAGGGTCAGTAGTTCAGGATCTCAGAGCGCCTCTTCATGTTGTTGTTCACACTCTGTTCAATTTGATAAATATCTGGCCAGGGTGAAAAATATTTGTCTGCCTGAAATATGACACAGCCTTTTATGACATGACATAAGTCTTCATGGGTCATTTCAGGAGGCGATGAAGACTCTGTTGACAGGAGAATCTTCTCTCCTGCTTGTTCACTTTCTTTTTAATTTCTTTTGACAAATCCCTCAAGCCTGGCTAGCCAAAACACTTTCCGACAGAATAAGCCACTAGAAAAAGAAAAGCCGATAAATTGAAGACTAGAAAAAGTAGAATATAAATTAGATGAACCCTTTCAGGCACAGTGGTCTGTGAGAAATCGCCCATTATTTTTTCACCTTTCCATTTGCTTTAGAGTTTAAAGTAGGAATCTTTCCATTTTGTGAAATTGTGTTTCTCTACAAAGTTGGGTACACACAGTCTCTTGGAGCTTCTGAAGAAAAACAAAACTAAACTAGTGAAACTATTTCTGTAAGTGTTAATGATGTAAACAGGCTGCACAATCAGAATTAATGAAGACAATGATAAAATATTGCAATTTTTATTAGAGAAATAAGGTGGTTTTGCATAACAGCCACTGTGGATATACAGGAAATACCAAATCATATGGCAAAATGTTGATAAGCATTCTGTGTTTGATCAAAATGAGAATTTTACATAGTCAAACCATTCTGATCTGTATGCCAAACACATCTGAAAGTGCACAAAAAAAAAGCAAATGTAGTGCTTTGGACTAAGAAACCACCTCAAAAAAGTGCCAGCATAATCAAATCCAACAACATGGATGTTAATTTGACGGTTTGCTACCCATTCAATCACATAAAATTGAATGTTTGAAAGAAATTCAGTGACTGTGTCTGAAAGGGTAGTTGCAAAATAGCAGAAAGAAGATTATTATGGCATGAGAGCATAATCTCTGCAGGTTCAGAATAACATAGTCATGTAGTTTTATATACTGATAGTGGCTTCTAAATTTACACTAGCTCCTGATCAAATCTTCTGTGCTAATAAAACAGCATTTGGACTGACAGTTTGAGCGATGTAGGTCTCTTTCATAACCATTCCTTGCATTTAGTATCTCCGTGCTGTATTTATTCGCTGCTCTGTGCTATAATGGAGGTCCACTCTTATAGTCACTGCCAACCATTACTGTCACAACAGGCCGAAGAAGAAGGTAATAATAGTGCGAGTAATAAAAGCAAGACTTTATGAGCTTTCTGCTCATAATCAGAACATGCAGTGCCTAAGTGCACACATGCACACAAATACACCCATATATGTGTGCAAAGGGAACTGGGGCAATCAATATACATGAGTGAGATGATGATTTTATGATGATCCACTTTACTTTATGCACAATGGAAAATGTAAACAAGAAATGTAAATATTGCTATTTGTCATTAAAGTTGTATTGAGATTAGATAACTTATGCAATTTACATGTTAAATTACACCTTACAATATTCAGGATTAACTTTGTCCGTATTGCCCCAAGCATTTTTCTATTCTGAGTTCAGCATTGGAAATGATTGGATGTATTTGCCAGGCTAAGTCTTTTGGGGAGATAAAGCGATAGCTACATGCTCTGAGACAGCATGCAGAGCCAATGGTAGCGCTGAGTTCCTCACACCTGACAGTGAAAGCTTTCTAGAGATTTCTGGCTGAAATTAGCAAAGACAACTGCAAAGTCTATATGTTCAGTTTCTTTAGCTCAAACATGCATGTACGTGCGTGCAAATTTTAAATCAGGGTTATTTAAAAAAATATATATATTGATTACTCAACTTACAAAATGTTGATTTTGAATTCTGTTTAACCCCCCATATTACTAGTTATGGGACAACTTTTATATATTGATTTAATATCACCAGTGACAAATTTTCGTTAAAAATTCTGTTTAAATTACCTAAAAATACATATGATCAGATTATAATCAAATTATAAATAACATTAAATAATTTTGCTTTAAAAATTATTTCACACAAATATTGAACATGTATTTTTAATTGTAATGATATTTTACATTATTACTGTATATTTGATCTAATAATTATAGCCTTGGTAAGCATAAGAGAATTCTGTTAAAATATATTATAAGTATTATAGCATAAATCTGTCATGACTGAAAAGTCAATGTTTGACACTGTCACGGTCACTCGGGGAGGAAGGAATGAGGAGACGCAGGAGAACACTTCAACTAGGATTTAATTAAAATGAACAAATGATAACACACACAGGAACTCTGGGATGACATTTAACAGCCGACACATCAAAACACAGGGCCTAAGTAACAAGGGAGGAAATGAGGGAATTAATCAACATAACGAGGAAACAAGGGAAACACAGGTGGAATCAAATAAACATAATGAGGACAGGAACAGGAAAACCAAAAAGGGGCAAACAGGAACATACACGTGACAGATCGCCCCCCTCCCGGACCGGGTTACCATGGCGGAACAGGGGACTCAGGAGGCCATGGCGGAGCTGGCAGTTCAGGTTGCCATGGCGGAACTGGTAGCTCAGGAGGCCATGGCGGATCAGGGGACTCAGGAGGCCATGGCGGATCCGGAGACTCAGGAGGCCATGGCGAATCCTCCATGGCCTTAGCTGGCTCGGCCACGGGTATATGGCCCCCCAAAAAAATTTTCTTGGAGAAAACTAGGAATCCTGGGGGGGCGCTCTGGAGGAGCGGGCACTTGAGGGCGCTCTGGAGGGGATTCAGGGACTGGAGCCCTCCTTGGGCTAAGCACGGGGACAGGAGCCCTCACTGGCCTAAACTCGGGAACAGGAGCCCTCCGTGGACTATACTCGGGAACTGGAGCCCTCCCTGGGCTTAACTGGGGATCAGGAGCCCTTCCTGGGCTAAACGAGGAATCAGGAGCCCTCCCTGGGCTTAACTGGGGATCTGGAGCCCTCCCTGGGCTAAACTGGGAATCTGGGAAGCGCTTTCGAGGAGCTGGCACTGGAGGGAGCTCTGGAGGAGCAGGCACAGCAAGGTGCTTTCGAGCGAGCTTAGGGGCTGGAGCCGACACTGGAGCGAGCTCTGGGCCTGGAGCAGACACTGGAGCGAGCTCTGGGGCTGGAGCCGACACTGGAGTGAGCTCTGGGCAGGAGTGAGCCACGACTGACGGGCTTGACTTGGGAATGGCCAGCGGGCTTGCCACAGAAACGGCCGGCGGGCTTGCCACAGGATCTTCGGAACTAGACTTTGGAACGGCCGGCAGGCTGGAGAAAGCCGCGGCCGGCAGGCTTGACTGAGGAATGGCCAGCGGAGGAGTCCCGGATCGGGATTGGAGGCTCTCCAGACACCGGATGCCTGCCTCCTTCCAGTCGAGGTTGGTGGTGTCTGGGAGCTCCGCGGGCGGTGGTAAGTAATCCCGATCCGGAACAGCGTCACGAGGGTTTCCCCCTCGAGGGAGCTGGCGAGCGGCACGAACGTCCTCGCGTAGCTGACAGGGTCGGGGCTCGCCTGAGCCACGGCGATGAACATCGCTCGTTCCAGGAACAGGAAGACCAAAAAAGGGCAAACAGGAACATACACATGACAGACACTATATTTTGATAACTATATTTTGCTACAGAACATTACACTTTATGAGAGCACAAACATTCTGACAAACTTGTGCAAAACTGTAAACATTTTTACAAGTTAGAGTGTAAAACATAACCTTGAGCCACTGAGACCAATTCCCTCTTTCTCGCCCCCCTTCATTCCCTTCAAAGGAAAAACATTGTTAAACACACCCAGCACAACCTTAGTTCAAGACATTGTTATCTTTTCTCTTCTTCCTATTACCTTACGCATATATTGTTTCTTTTGCCTTTACTGCTGGCTATATTAACTGTAAAAGCACATTTGAAATTCATACTTCACTTTTGCTTTTGTGTCCCTTCAAGGGAGAAATGTAATGAGACTTTGTTTATCATGTGGCATCCCTGTCAGAAGGGAATGAGATATGGTCGGCGTTATACAAACAAGCCTGGGTCATAGCCACTGATTAATAACCAACAACAAGACGGTGGCTTTGCGGTCTGTGCTGATGTCTAAAGCTTGAAAGTAAACAGGATCCACACAGAATCAGACGAGTCACATAATGAGGAATAAAAATTTCCTAGATGTTTTTGGATAAAAGAGATCATTACTGTAACTTTCAGCAGTCAAAACCTCTGTACTTCTGTACTCCTGCAACAGATAAATCAATTTGAAGGCACAACCACCTACATTTGCTCCTCAACAACACCTATTCTGTGTCAGGAAACTTGGTGTGTCCCGTCAGTGTGAGGTATTATGGAGAAAGTAGGATAGATGTTATTATTGTTATTGTTCTTGACTCTGTGTAGCACCTGCAGCTCTGCAGATTCTTTGGAAGGATCCCAGTATCTTTTTGCCAAGTATGAGTGGCTGAAATTTATTTTTTAACAAGCTCCCTGATCATTTCTGTCTGATTTAGTGCCCTACGTCTGAGTGTTTGATTTTGTGAACTAGCACAGAGACTGTTACCGAGGGACCCAGAGCTTGCAAATAAGAGTAATTTCACATAAAGAGAGAACATTTACACAGTTGTCTTACAGCATGGCAGCAATAAAATGAATAAACATAAACATTTTAGTGCAGTTTTATAACATATATTGGTAACACTTTACAAGAAGGTTCTGTTTGTTAACTTTAGTTTAATTCAGTTAACAGTAACTAAAAACATTTAAAGCATTTATTAGTTACAATAGTTAAAGTACTAATACATTATTAAAAAGTTGTATATGTTAATATTATTTAATGTATCTGACCTAACAACCTAACTTGAACTAATGATGAAGAGTTATTTTTTATTAACTATAGCAATAACAAATATTAATAAAAGCTGTACAAAATGAATTGCTTTTATCTAGTTAACATTAGTTAAAGGAATAGTTTGCCCTAAAATGAAAATTTGCTGAACATTTTCTCTCTCTCAGGTCATCCAAGATGTAGATGGGTTTCTTGATCTGAACAGGTTTGGAGAAATTTAGCACCACTTGATCATCAACGGATCCTTTGCAGTGAACTCATATTTAGCCTGAAGCAACGGTTTGAAGTTAAAAACAACTTGATGGATTAGTTTATTACAAACAAGCAATGTGTGGATTATTTACATTGCCTGTGGATTATTGTGATGTTCTTATCAGCTGTTTGAACTCTCATTCTGACGGCACCCATTTAAAACATCAAGATAACTATGTAATGCTAAATATATGATAAATGCTAAATCTGTTCTGATGAATAAACAAACTCATCTACATCTTGCATGGCTATTCCTTTAATACTTACCTTCTCATGAGGAGCTCAAAATCTTCAACCTCAATAGTTTTACGTTTGGCATGAGTAGTGTACGCTTCCAGATCGTCTGCAAGCCGTTCGAAGTACTTCTTAAGACTAAGAGGATTAAAAAAAAAAAAAAAAAAGGCACACACACATTGG